GAAACAATAAGTGTTGGCAGCTAATGTCCAAGCATGCTGAAATACCCTTCTGTGACGATGCCTGTAAATAGGATAGGCTGAAACACCGGTCTTCTCTCACGTGAGAACTCGGACATGGTGAGCTGTTTCCTTAAAAAGAATAGAAAATTTTGAAGACCCTTCTCCTTATCTCTTAAAGACGGTTAGTAGCTCAATGTTTTTAAGAACTCTACAGTCAGTTTTTTCACCTCTTAGATATGAGACTAGTGCAGTGTATCATGGTCTGGGGAGTTTTGTAACTTTTGGTAGTCAGCGTTAGCTACTGTTTGCTTCTGTGAAGTTGGCTGGCACGTGCACAGTGTTGTGGGTGTGATACGTGGATGTTTCTAGTGACCGTGACAAACACAGTTTCTGCTTTTGCTGATGCATTCACGGAAATCCAGTCATGAGGAACACGCACGTGTTTTAGTGTGTCCTTTCAGTGTCACTCCACACCAGGCGCTGTAACTGCTTCAATTGTTCTTTAGTGTCTGAATTACTAACGGAAGCTTTAAAGGGAAATGCTGATGCTTCTGCCTTGTAGCACACTTTGGTTTTTTTAAAGGCTTTAGAAAGGCTCCTTGCACTCTAATGAAAAGCTGCAGTTTATTTAGGTAAGGCTTTCAACCTTTCTCTGTGCTGACATGGACTGTGGTGGCTCTTGTGCGGTTGCCAGAGGAAATCCTTGCCGTGCATGATCCTTGTAGCCTCCCCAGAAAGTAATTCATGGGAATGCTGCTTTGTCAAGGTGGGATCAGATTTCTCCAACTTGGACAACGGAGACTTCCCACTGTGCTGTCCAAGCCAGAGGGAAGGCTCAGGGTGAAATCTGCCGCTGGCCTAACTCCATGAGGGAGAACTTGGCCCTATTCCTATAGGAACAACTTGTCTTTTTATACCTTTTTTTCATAATCTATTTCTCAGATTCCTGTAGCTTATGTGTTTTTCGTCTGAAGTTGTTGCCGCTCTGGCCTAATGACAGAAGCGTGCTGTTTTCAGGACAGCACATCTCTGTACCTCAGACACTTGTGTGACTGTAGGGTAGACAGGTACTCAAATACTTTCCTGAATGCGGGGCTGAGCATACTTGTCAGGCCCCTGCTGTAGTTTTGGGATGGGACTGTGCTTCAAACCTGAACAATCTGGAGATGGTTCCTGGTAATGGAATTGGCGAAACCAAATAGGAGCAGCAAATAGCCTTCTGGTGCTTGCCTGTTGTTTGGTAGATGGCCACATGCATGCCTCAACACATGCCGTTGTGATACTCGCTCATCCCCGACGCCTCCAGGAGCCGGGACAATCTGTTTGGGCTCTGTTTCTGTTTCTTTCAAGCTACTTCTGAAAACCAGATGAAAAACTTTTTTCCGGTTTCCTCTCTACATAATAGTTTCCAGTCCAATGTCTGGCCATCGAGGACCATGCTTACTCCCAAAGCAATCCCTGAGCTATAACACACAGCTATACCCCGAGCTGTAACGCGTATGTCGGGGCCTGGCCCAACACCCTGTAAAAAGAGGGTTTTGTTGATGTCTGAAGCGTTTGACTTGGTTCTGAAAGCTGATGTGCTGAAGTACTGGGAGACATCATGGTGCCCAGGTCTGAGATACCCGAGTTTGGGTAAGGGCTAAGCACAGAGCCTTCTGCAAGAGCGCCTGTGTAAAGTAACCCGGACTGGACACCTGCAGCCATACCGCCCAGCCATGCACGTTCCGAAAAAATGAAGCTTAAAGACACCAGCCGCTGTGTGGTTACAGACCGTAACCTTGACTAACTTACGCGGTTGGTTGTTCAGTAGTTCTGCCCCCTCAGTTTTCCTTTTTGCTTTTGCTTGTCGTAGGCTGGAGTAGAGCCCAGCCTCGAAGTGTAATTTCTTTATAATTCCATAATCCATCTGCATGCCCACACACCAGAGCTGGTTGCTGGTGTCGGCTCTCCCAGCTTTCTTTGATTTTGGGTTTTTTTTTTTCCATTTTGAGTTCAATTATTGCTAACTTTTTTGTTTTTTTTTTCTTTTTTTAACTTGCAGTGCAAGCTTCACATAAAGCCTGTCAAGCCAAGGATGTTCCTGCATTCACCTGCTTTTGCAGTAATGTGTCTCTGCCATTGTGTTCTTTCTTTTTTCTTTTTTTTTTTCCATTTTTTTAACACTAATAACTATTAACTCATCTAATAACATAGTGGGAACAAGAAGGAAGAAGGATTGGGTACAGGACTGTATGCAACTGGAAGTCCAGGGGTGGGTGGAGGGGCAAGGTAATGATACCATGTATTTCCCGTGTCAAAACCAGCAGCAGTAAATCATTCTTGGCCCCAAATTTGAACTGAGAGTCAGGGCTGGACGTCAGCAGCACGGGTGAGCGTCATTGGCTGGATCAGGTCCTCAGTGTCGCTGGCTTACCCAGCTCTCGGAGGGCTGGCTGCGATAGCCCTGTGCTGAAGGGGTCCCTGGGTCTGCAGAAACCAGCCTCGGGGAATTATTGCTGTACGAGAGTCACAGCCCCGTCCCCGGTGTGGCTAAACCCTGGAGTTCGGTCCGACCCATATTCCTTCAGTAGCTAAGGTGTTAGAGCAATACGAGTCCTGCTGTTGGGGGAGAGGGAAGGGGGTATGTGTGTGGAGATAACAAAAGTTTAACTGACCTTGCATGCCATTACATTTGCATGATATTTTTTTATTAATTCCTGGTTTTGTTGTCTGACTCGATCATACCGGTTGGCTTGGATTTACTGTCATGTGCTGGCGTATTTTTGCAGTTCAGTGTAGTAGCTACCCGCTGAATGCTGCGGTGGGAACCAAACGGTGCTGCCAGGTGCCTGGGAGAAGGACCATTTCTCCTTACCGCTTTCCGTGTATTACCTGCCTGACCATAACCTTGGAAACCTCTCTTAAAATGGTGCCTGGTTTCCAACGTGCGTGATCTTAGCAAGAGTTAGCAGCCCTTAGGGAACCAAGTGCCTGGGCAGGGGGGAAAGATATAGCCTTCAACATCCTCTTAGAGCCTTCAGGAGGATTCCTGCACGCACTTAAAAACAGACTTGCAAAGCTGTGGGATCCAGAATTTCACGTCAAGGGAGAGAGGGCGCCTGGACATATATATATTCTCCGCATTCCCCACCGGCCCTCCTGCCCCAGGCACAATCTCCCATTCAGCTGTCCCTTGAACATGCAAAGGAGATTTAGCATAAGCCAGGCCGCGCTCTGTGGCCAGCGCAGTGTGGGAATTGGTCTGTTTAATGTGTATTTTCTATGCCATTGCTTTTCGGACAGAGTCTTTCCCTTCCTTCCCAAGAAGTGGCGAGCCATGCTTACCCTATGACTTCTGGATTTCTTTCTCTTCTGTTGATGTACAGCCAGCGTTTCCACTGCTCCTAGCTAGGTAGTCTCCTGTTTCTTTAAAGCACTCTTAAAAGTAACTCGCTCCACTTAAGTCTCACGCACTGCAGTTCTTTGCTTGTTTCTGGGGTGGAATTTCTTGGCTCTGGGCGGGGGGGAGGGGAAGAGGCAGAATTCTCACCTTTTCTGAAGCCTTGGATTGGGAAATGTGTTTGGGGGTTAGCTTTTTGGGTCGTCTTGCTTTTTAACCCTCACTGCTTAAACATGGCTTCGGGCAGCAGATATTTAAATACGATGTCTTGAACAAACAGCAAAAGTTGATTGGAGGTAAATAAGCTGGAAATAAAATAATTGAGCCTTTTCTCCTTTTTTCTTTTTTGGTCTGATTTTAGTTTTGTTTGTTTGTTTTTTCTTTGTTTTAAATCACACCTCCTGGTCTTATGAACCACGATGCACTTTTTGTCAGGTTAAATAGGTTTCCTAGGGGGGGATTTGGAAAAAGGAAACTATGGTTCTTGTGGCTTCGGGCAAACCCAGCTTTAAAATCTCCAGTTATCAAGGAAGAAGTTTGGGTTTTGGCATGGGTTTTTTACAGTCGCATCATATGCACGTCATAGAATGCTTGTGGCGGTATGCTTTGCTTCAGCTGTCTCTGTGCATGTCCTCTTTTTAATTAGCAGCGTTTTGTGCCAAGTAGAAAACTTAATTTTAACATTTATTTGTCCTGCTTCATTTAACAGCCCTTCAAGGGACGTTTGGCAGGGGAAATCAGCTGAGTCTAGCTATATATATATTTTTTTTAATAGAAGGCTGTGGCCAAGTGCGTTAATGTATTTTTGGTTGGGTTTTTTTCTCCAGCAAAAAGCAAGCTGTTTTGGAGAAACCGGGAATAAACCATAAACTTGCAAAAGTTAAAGGTACTGTTTTGGTTTTTTGCCAGAGGAGATATTAATGACTTTTTTTTCCCTCCTTAAACCCCTGGGCCATGTTTAGCTTGTTACTGCTGCACTTCTCTCTTTCCTTTACTTATGCCTTTTTTCACAGTAGCCCCTGATTCTGCATGGATTAAATGAATCAGTCAAATCTAGTTGGATGTGCTTTCACCTTTGCATGTAAGTACAGTAGTAAGAGAGTCACCCTTTCTGCCTCGCTACTGATATGAAACCAGTTGTGTTTTTTCAGGGGGGGGTCTTTAAGTCCGCTTACTTACAAGTGGCATTGTTAAAACTACTTTAAAACTTTCTGCAATGATCTGCTTTTGCTGAGATGTTGAAAAGAAGCCATAGGGAACATGACATCCAGCTCCTGTTGAACGCCTAAAGCAACCCTGCACAGCTGCTCTGCATGCCTGAAGCTAGCAAGCCAGCTGGTGGAACTGTGAACAGACGGTTGCATGGGCAAAAAAGCCTTGCTTGAGAGGCACTGCAGCCTTTAATGCGCGTTAGACAGCAATGATAACTAGCCGATAATGCTCCATGTTGCTGACAAGGTGGATTTCAAACCTTGGAATAATATAAAGGAGCAAGGAAGCACACCGAAACGTGTGTTTCGGAGATGATGGTGTTCCCAGGGCATGGAACGAACCCCCAGAATGGGAAAAAAACCAAAATCCAGGTTGCTGAGAGAGGCCGTGATTGCTCTGTAGATGTGGGCATGCGTGCGTCCGGCAGTCAGCCGAAAAGGCGGAGATGAATAAGGGTTTGCTCCCCCAAAACCTCACTGGGGTTGCACAGTTACGTTCCAGGAGGGCAGTAAGTAGGAAGGCGCCCTTTGAGCTCATGTCATTAAACATATTCCCTTGCATCTCCTGTGGTGTGTGGTGCTGCCGGGGATGGGGGGAAGCAGTGACGGGCACCCACCCCGGGCTCCTCTGCAGCCTGAAAACTGCAACTCGTGTCACCCCCTCTGTGTGCTTTTGACGGCTTGAAATCCCGTCAAGGAGACGTGTATCTTTGTGTCTCTCTTTAAGCATGTCTTTATTTAACATGACCAGCGTTTCTCCAGGTAGCTCTCATTCTGCTTCTCCTAAAACGTCCAAGTGAGAATGGAAATGTCTTCTTGTGTGTGATCTTATCAGATATGTTCATTTGAATCCAGTTACCATTTGCCCTTCTAAGATGCTAGAAGAGTACGTATTTGTCTCTTCTCCGAGGACCCTGGTTGCATTTGCAGTATATGATACCCATGATGCTGTCATCGGCGTGTATCAGCATGGAACTGTACAAATATGAAGGGTTTTTTCAATTAACGGAAAATAAAGCTGTGAACAGCGGTAGAAATATTGTATTTGTATACATTTTTAATATCCTGTTTGCCTTAAACTATAGATGTAGAACTTTATTACCTTGCTATTTGAAAATAACCCATGTTTGTAACTAAATAATTGTGTAACCTCCATACAGTGTTAATGCAAATTACATGTATGCATCTGTTAGATATTGTCACTTTATTTGATGTTAAAATATTTCAGTTTTCAAATTACAAATTGAATAATAACCTTATAGCATAAGCTCAGTTATTTCTTGTCTATGCTTTAGGTCACATATACAAATAGCGCCAACGCTTGAAGTGGGGAGAGGAAATATATTTTTACGCAAACGCTTCGGTCTTGGCGTGCCCTTTGTGACTTTGTTTTGTTGTTGCCGTTTTGTAACGGTGTGACAGGAGGGGATGAGGAAATGTGAGGTTTCCCGACAGGTTGTTTTGTGCCTTTGAGATGCCTCTGTGGGTTTGTGCTGGTGTTTGTCAGTCGCTTTTTGTGCCAGTCGCGAGCTTGTTCTGCAGATCAGTCGGTGTCTTGAAGAGGTCCAGGCCTCTCTAGTGCAGCTGGTTTATATGACACCTCCCCAGTGCGCTCTTCCCTTCGTGGCTTACTTGCTTTAAAATGTTATTCCTCCTTTTTTTTTTTTCCCCCCTCTGTCACGTTTTCATTTCAATTC